GATAATACAATATATGAAAATTCGCTCTGATAATTCGTCTGTGCAAATAATTGTCAGTTATGTGACTTTGACTTAATCTCATTGTTTAAATTAATAAAGAAAAATTTAAACAATTTCGAAACCTTGGCCTATAGAAAACCTACTCATACTAACCGATATTTGAATTTCGACTCAAATCAGCCGATTATGGTTAAAAAAGGTATCGTAAAAAGTCTATATAATAGAGCAAAAATTATTCGTAATCAATCTAATTTTTCCAAAGAAAAACAATTTATAAGTGGCGTGAAATTCAAGACACATTTATTTAAAATATACTCTTTTATATTTTTTTGCGTCGCTAATGTGAATCTCGGGTCGAGAAAACTCCTATAGATCGATGACGGTCATAAATTAGCCATCTATTGACTGGTAACGTTTTGATGGTTTGTTTTTATTGCTTTGCTCGACCTTGTAACATTTTTCCACTTTATATGAAGGATAGTGGCAGCTTCCGATTATTTATTAAGGGGTTTTGAAAATAAACTGTACAGCTAAAGCACTGAATGCTTCGGAAGTCCGTAAAGAAACTGAGTGCATTTTGGTATTTTTAGGGCATTGGCTTTCTGCAGGAGCAAATTTTGCAGCAAATCACCAACAAGCTGAAGAATTTGCAACGTTAACATCTGACAAGACTAAGACCAAAGTTCCTTACTGTAAAAGACAAATATATATATAAATAACAGATTTAGTGCGTGAGTAAATAATGCACGCTTTGAAACAATCCGATAGTGAACCCAACTAAATCGAATAACAAGAATATATATTAAATTGAGACGCATAAATACTCCAGCCGTTAAATGTGATTGTTTTTTATGTCCGATCGTTTACATGTTTGAAAGTTTAGTGCCAAAAATACATTTATTGGCCTGAATTGATCAGTTAATTGGCCGCGTTATAAACTGCGTCAGGCTTGCAACCCTAATTGCGTTCGCAATTCCGAAATGTGGCTTTGTGCAGGAGAATTATCAAAACCCTCCACGAGTTTCCCTCAAGCATGGCTTTGTCCGCAAAGAAAGCATCTGGCTGATTTTCTATTCAACACATTGAAACTCTTCATCATATTTCGCTGCGCAATATTTTTCACGCTACAGGGACTTTCTCTGGAGGGTTTGTTTGGCTTTGATATGAAGCTGCAGCATTTTTAGTTGTACCAGAGGCACAAAATTTCGCGTAATATTGTTAGGGCTTTCTTTGACTCTTTGGCTCTGGCCTGTGCAAGTTGCAAACAAATTAGAGACAAACATTTTTTGTTCACGTTTAGGATCTGTCTCAAAAAAACATTTGCGGTGAAAAAAGGACGCAATCAAAACTTGCCGATTTAAATCGCCATTTACCAGTGGAAATATTTGCGGGTTTTTCGGTGAAAGCGACAACAAAATGTGGTTTTTCCGAAAGCGTTGCAATTGGTGCATCACTCGAAACCTCCAAATGGCATTTTCCCATACAAAACCGCGGAATTAATGAGAATAATTGTCGCTTGAACTTCAATAACTTGGTAAAAGTAAATTTTAGTGAAAAAAAATCAGATTTAATTTCTCTATTCTGAATACATTTGACGACGAAAACAGTGACGCCTAACCAAAAAAGCTAATCGGGGCGCTAAAATCGAAACTTTTTTACTTGAAACTAGTCAAAAACCGCGCTTCGAAAGCGGCAACTAAAAGCCTGATTTTTTTCCTAAATCCTCAGAAGTCCAGGTTCAGTAAAATTGCCATAAATCAACGAGAAATTTGGTTAAAACCACGTTTAAGGGCGATTCAGCAGACTTTTCAGTGTTGCTTGCACGACGCTCAGGGAGAGGCACAACTTAGGATTAAATCGATTTCATTGAGAAAAACAAGTAGTGAACAAACAATAATTTAATTTTTTTTGCGAATGACTTCAACAGCAACAGTCTGCCAGGAAAAGGGTCTTGAAGAAAATAACCGAGAGAGCAGCTGAAGAAATGTACGAAAGCCTTTCTGGCAGCATCAAGAGCGGACAGTCCTCCTTTGCGCATATCTCCAACAGCGACAGTCTGCCAGAAAAAGTGTCTAGAGCACAGTGGAAGACTATCAAAACGMCTATCGGACTGTCTTCGTCCTTTTCAGTATTCATGGGAAAKAACCGAGAGAGCAGCTGAAGAAATGTGCGAAAGCCTTTCTGGCAACATCAAGAGCGGACAGTCCTCCTCTGCGCATATTGCCAACAGCGACAGTCTGCCAGAAAAAGTGTCTTAAGCAAAGTAGAAGGCCATGAAAAACACTATCGGCCGGTATTTTTGGTTTTTAATGATCAGCGGAAACACCTAAGGCATCAGGTAAATAAGTGCGCAAAAGTCAGTTTTCAAGAGCGAATAGTTTTCTTTGGCGCATATCTTCAACAGCGACAGTCTGCCAGAAAAAGTGAGTAGAGTAAAGAGGAAGACTATGAAAAAGACTATCGGACTGTCTTTTTGATTTTCAACGATTACCGGAAATAACCGAGGGAGCAGCTGAAGAAGTGCGCGAAAGTCTTTCGGGGGATTTCAAGAGCGGACAGTCCTCTTTTTCTCGAATCTTCAACAGCCACTGTAATAATAATCGTAATCTTTCGTAATAATTTTYAATTTGATTTCGAATTGTAATTTTAAGCAATTTTATCCAAGTCAATCCAYGCKAATTATCSTGTTACTTGTACAATTCAATGTTTTTAATGAACTGAGCATTGCAGATTCAGTTTTAACCGCAAACATCGACACGAACCCAGTGCTATTCGTGGCTTTAAATTATATAATTTTCGTTTAAATTCCTTCCAATTCCACTCTTTGTTGGCAATTTTTATCAATTTCTGAGAAAAATTGTGTGGAAAACTTCAATCAGCGCCGTTAAATAAGTATATGAATGCTGGGTCCACTTACCTCATTTCAAAATCGTGAATCTCCTCTAGAGTTAAGTTATTCGCGACGTCCAACAGCTGCTTCATATTCTCCTCTTTTTGGCTCTTCAAGGCAGCAAGTTTAGCCGCATTTGCCTCCTGAACGGTATGCACGTTTCCCAGAAAATCGTTCCCGTTCTTGAGCAAAATCGTCGATGTGATGTTGGCGTGATCAAGCGATAGCGAAGCTTGTTGCACCTGGAAAAACCCAGATAATTCTTGATTACTTTCCAGACGAAATACCGATCGGTGTGAACATGATTGCGATCCAAAACACGCCAATCTAGGTAACCCTAATGCTGAAATTTCGCCAACAAACAAAATAAATACTAGTTGCAACCTTCACCTAATTATACGCCCAGTTTAATGAGTTTATCAGACGACTGCTTTGTTTCTCATGGTTCACTTTGAACTCGGCTTGATTACTTGCAGGGCAAATTTGTTAACAGGATGGTTATAATGTACTCACGCGATTTGACGAAAACATGCCAAAACCTGAAGAGTGCAAATTTTAAGTTCAACACTAAAACGCACTGATTGTAGTGTTTGAAATCCGTTAATGTATTTTTCAGCTGAATTTTTGCAGGTTTTACTGTGCGTGGATGATGGCGTCTACAGTGCCAAAAGTGTGTTTGTTCGAAGGGAATTTCAGGTTTATTTCTGTTTGGAATTTGGGCCGGAATACCAATCTTGTTTTGGGCGCTAAGAACGGCAGGTAATGTTCAATTGAGGAAAATAGCGCTTGTAGAACTAGACAATCTAAAAGATGTTGTTCTTCTACTGGATCTTGAACTAAAAATGATAAATTTGCCCTGCGGTCACAACACGATACAAAATCGTTCAAGATTTACTTTAATCAAATTTTTTTTTTAAATGCAACTAGACATTGCAAGTGAAACGTGTTTAGATGTTTTTTCTGCGAATGGGTGAACTTCTGCAATGAAATCTTGTTTGAAGTGGGCACTGCTCCGAATGGAACCAAACGCTGTTAATTAATGAGTGTTTGGCTCGATTTTCTTCTGCTGAAGTTTAGGGCTCAACTGTTGCACTAAATTCTGTCCAAATCGCCCCACTTTCAATAGACACTTACTAGTCTGTATGTGTAAAAAGTTGCATAGGAACTTGGTTGCTTCCCAAGAAAACGATGGAAATCCTGACCAAAATAATCGAAGATTTGATGAAAGTGAGACACGAAATTTTCACGTTCAGGCAACATCAGGAAATTTTGCATCTCTCCCAAGAGTTTCACAAGAGAGTTGCAGGTATTTAACCTGTCAGTCCAGCTGGGCTTCATTTCTTTGTTGCGTTTTATTCAGCCAAAGCTTCCAAAGAGAAAATCGCACTCTCTCCTGTCTTACCTTGTTCGGTGACCTCGTGCAGCACTCTGGATGGTGTCAGCCGCGAAACCAACCGGAAAAGTCTTTGTTGCGCAAACAAGTCACTAAACCAAACACACAATAGGACAAAGAAGTAGGCTACTAACCACGATTGTTGCTTGGGGAGCTTTCCGGCCGAAATGCAACGGATTCTCCAACGGATTGGTTGTGACATTTATTGGAGAAGTAGCCGATGGATTGGAGGCGTCCAGCTGCGCCCCCACCTCTCTAAGGCATTTGTTTAAGCACACGCTGCCCCGTTTTTCCAATGCGGCGCCCAGCGTCGGCGTCGTCAACGAGTCTAGGATGCTGCTGCGGCGTCGGTCCAACGATTCGCTGAAAAAACGATGAATGAGCGTGACCAAACGCTTAAATTCGAATCGTCAACTTTTTAAATAAATCCCCGAAAAACTTATCGGGCCAGTTGCGGGAAATACACATTTTAATTAGACGGGGACCTGGCGGGCGAAAATAGCTGCTTCCACAAAATCCAATTGTGGGTCAAAATCTTATTTTTGTTTTTGTATCATACATTTTTAGTTGGCCGGCGAAACAAACGCTTAAGAAAATAAAGCCTGATAGGTACTGATGTTTGGAAAAACCAACAAATTCTCAACACTGGAAAGCTGAAAAATTACTTTCAGTACCAACACCCGATGAAGATTCATTGGTTTTTAACAAAGGCTTACAAAGGAATGATTAACGTACTTTTGGGAGACGTTTTTCAAATTTTTCTTTACCTAAATACTGCGGCATCTTCACAGACACACAGAAAATCTCGCAAATCTTTGGCAGATTAAAATATTTGAAGGCACGAAACCTTTGCAAGATTTGGCTACTAGCTGAATGAGGATTGTCTGCCTTCACACGCACAGACTGAAGACCTTCAAAAATATTTAGCTGACTAAAATATTTGGCTACTAGCTAAAGACCGTTTTTGCCTTCACACACACATAATTTTCGATATCCTTCAGCAGATTAAAATATTTGAAGACCTCAGAACTTTAGAAGATTCAGCTAGTAGCTGAAGGCCGATTTTCTGCCTTCGCACACACACTAACCGAAAATCCTTGAAAACCTTTAACAGGTATTTGAAAACACCAACATTTTGAAAAATTTTGCTACTAGCTGAAGGCCATTTTTGCCTTCACATACGCATACGGAAAATTCTGGAAAATCGTTAGCAGACTGAAATATTTGAACACACCAATACTTTGGAATATTTCTCTACTAGCGAAAGGCCGACTTTCTGCCTCCGCAGACACACAGAATATTCCCAAAAATCTTCTGCAGATTAAAATATTTGAAGGCACGAAAACTTCGGAAGATTTAGCTACTAGCTGAATGAGGATAGTCCGCCTTCACATGCACACACTGCGTGTGAAGTTTCACTTCGACTCTCTATTTTCAACCGTTTATTTGGCAAATTTTTTAGCTTAAATCTGGAAAAATCAGAAGGAAGATTTGTGTTTTCTTTAAGTTCTCCTACATTCTTCTGGTCGTCTTCCAAAAGTCATTTTTGATTTGTACTTGCTTCTTGATTGTTTCGGTTCTAGTTCCTTCCTTTGTGCTTAGAATTGGAAAATTTCTCTGTAGAATATCGAGAAAATTAATTACTCTTTTGCGAATTTAACCATAAATTTAAACGAAGTTCATGCAACTTAATTTGGTCAGCAATTTGTCAGAAAACTAGTTTTTTAAGCCCTTTTTTAGCTTTCGCTTTCTTTACATCTAGTTTGCTATATTATGTAACCTTGTTAGTGTTTTTCAGTTTTGCACACTCAACGCTCCTTTTCAAATGGTTTTATGCATTATTCCTTTGTTTAGTTTAATGTTTAATATGTATTCCATTACTTTTGCTCTTAAAGTCCACATTTATGCGACTTCGCGTCCAATCTTGCATTTTTTATTATTGCCATTCTTTCGTTCATTTCAAAGTTTTGTTGGCAAAAAATAAAATTAATTCTGATAAGAAAAGCCATCGGAGACTTTCAAGCAGCAAAATCGTGACCCCAACATTAACGAATGAAAAAGCAAATTGAAAATCAGGATTAATGCAACCAAGTAAATTATTATATATATATAAATAATCTTTATTTCCTACAGAAAAAGGCTATCGACCATAAATTATTATTAAAACAGAAACTACAAACGCAAAGTGGGTTGGTTTTGCATTAAATTTTCCGGAAAAATGTATGCATTGTCATGCTTCTCTTGTTCATATATTCTCCTGTTTGCTGCTCATTGTTATCCATTTCGTTTTCCAACGTTTTTGCTGCTGGTTCATTCCTATTTCTTCCATATCTTAGATGAAACGAAAGCAGTCAAAATTGCTATTTTGCAACTAATAAAATAAATCTTTGCGTAATTGAATGACAATAAAATGGTTGGAAACTGAAGTTCCACGCAGTGTTGACGAGTCAAAGAAGGTGAACCCTCGAAGGAATTCTTCAGGTTCATTAACGTCATGAATCCTTCAGGGAATCAACTCGAGCTGCACAATTTACCAACAATAAATTTATACGAAACTGATAAAGAGCCCCAAGAAAGCATAATTTCAAACAAATATTTGTGTATTTTCCGCATCGTTTGAAAGTTGATATCTTGCGTGGAATGAACGGAAATTAATCGTCTTTTGTCTTGTTAACAAAGCCATTGCTAGCAGACTCCAGAGAGCCAAAAAACGAAGCAAATCTAACTGAAGAAGAACTAGTTTTTTATTTATTTAGCGCAAAAAAAACGACGCAGCAGAAAATYTATAATTTTCYTCCTCTCTGAGCAAAAATGCAAATCGCAAAAAATAAACAACACACGCATAATTTACTAGAATCCTATTTGCAAATTTCCCGTGATTACATTATTATATTTCCCGTTAAAATGAGTTTGCCAGTGCCAATGGAATAAACAGATACATGACCTGTATTTTTCTGGCGCTTCGCAAGCCCGCTATTCCCAGTATTGAAATTTTACAAAATACAATTAATCAAAAGCACGTTTCGCCGGAAAATCGGTAAAACTCAGCTAAGTTTTTCCGCTATTTTCCCCAAGCAAAATAGCGGTACAGGTGATGCAACACAAAAAACCAGATAAAAATAAGCACCTGTTCAGTTTTGACCGTCGACGTACTACTATGTGGAAATGTTTAGCAGGAAATCTTTAAATAGCTTGCTGCTGTGAAAATTGGAGAAGTTTCATAATCGGTGCAAACGCGAGATAATTTTTTTTTAATCACTCATCCTTGGGTTAAGCTTTTCCAACTCGCTCCACCCACTGCTGCTGCTCCAAATTCACTCTATTAAGTGTCGCTCAGCTCTAATCGCCCGAAAATCTCTGCAAAGCATTTGTTCGAAAATCTCCAAAGTTACGCGCTATTAGTGGAAGTAATTATGCATTCTAATCGGCCTAATACTGCAGGAATTCCGAAGGAATGGCTTCGAGCTTGGGAAGGCCGAAGTGAAAGTGAAATTAGGAATATTCGAAAATTTACATACTAAGCCCTTTCCGGGACGATAATTTGTATCCAAATTACTTCCATTTCCCTTGTCGTTATCCGCAGGAACACTTCAATTTGAATAGTCATATAACATCTATTTTCACAAAATTAGCCCTATTATTCTAAAGGGGTTTAATTGAGAACAGTAGCTCTTCTCCTGCTCTGTAAGAAAGAAAGAGGCATTTTCCTTCAGCTTCTACTACTTGACTAGAACTAATCAAAATTTCCTGCAAAATCAGAAATCATTATTTCTTATGTAGTTTGAAGCGGATTACGGTTCTGATGATGATGGATTTTCTGGCTATCGGAGACTCCGGTAATTAGAAGAGTGAAAAAAGTCAAAAGAAAAACATGGTCACATGATATTCCTGACTGAAAAACTTCCTGACTTCTTGCTCTTCCTGACTGAAAAAATCCTGGAAACTCCCGAGAAATATCCTATAATATTGCGTATTTCCACACTTAAAGCACTGGATCTCCTCTTTCGAGTGATAGTATGAACCAGATTGATATATTTTTGGCCTTTTCTTGTCAAATTTTTGAAAACTTTGTGTTTCCCAACGTCCACTCGCCTCAGCTTCAGAACCGAAAAAATACTGGAAATTCCCCGAAAGTTCCTGTCCAAGTGGGTTTTTCTTCACTTAAAGCTGCCGATTTTCTCCTTCGAGCGATATTATGGACCGTATTCAGGTATTTTTTGTTTCTCCTTGGCGAATTTTCGAAAAACCCGTGTTGTCCAACGACCAATCGCTTCGATTTAGTTTCTACAAAAAAGTCCCAGAAATTTCCTATTACAGTCACGCTTTCCTCATTTAAAGGCCGCCGATTTTCTCTTTAGAGTGATAGTCTGGGCAGGTTTGAGAAATTTTTGGGTTTTTCTTTGGTATTTTTTCAAAATCCGTCTGTCTTAGCAACAGCGAATCGCTTTCGCTTAGTAAATGAAAACATCCTGGAAACTCCCAAAAAATTTCCTAATCAAGTGAGTTTTTCCGCACTTAAAGCAGCCGATTTGCTCTTTTGAGCGATGTTATGGGCCGTATTCAGGAATTTTTTGATTTTTATTAGCAAATTTTTGAAAAATCTATGTTGTCCAGTGACGAATCGCTTCGCTTTAGTTTCTGAAAAAATCCTGCAAACTCTCAGAAATTTCCTATAAAAGTGAGGTTTTCCTCACGTAAAGCAACCGATTTGCTCTTTTGAGCGATGTTATGGGCCGTATTCAGGAATTTTTTTATTTTTATTAGCGAATTTTTGAAAAATCTATGTTGTCCATTGACGAATCGCTTCGCTTTAGTTTCTGAAAAAATCCTGCAAACTCTCAGAAATTTCCTATAAAAGTGAGGTTTTCCTCACTTAAAGCAGCCGATTTGCTCTTTTGAGCGATATTATGGGCCGTATTCAGGATTTTTTTAATTTTTACTAGCAAATTTTTGAAAAATCTATGTTGTCCAGTGACGAATCGCTTTGCTTTAGTTTCTGAAAAAATCCTCCAAACTCTCAGAAATTTCCTATAAAAGTGAGGTTTTCCTCACGTAAAGCAACCGATTTGCTTTTTTGAGCGATGTTATGGGCCGTATTCAGGAATTTTTTTATTTTTATTAGCGAATTTTTTAAAAATCTATGTTGTCCATTGACGAATCGCTTCGCTTTAGTTTCTGAAAAAATCCTGCAAAGTCTCAGAAATTTCCTATAAAAGTGACGCTTTCCTCACTTAAAGCAACCGATTTGCTCTTTTGAGCGATGTTATGGGCCGTATTCAAGAATTTTTTAATTTTTCTTAGCGAATTTTTGAAAAATCTATGTTGTCCACTGACGAATCGCTTCGCTTTAGTTTCTGAAAAAATCATGGAAACTCTCAGAAATTTCCTATAAAAGTGAGGTTTTCCTGATTTAAAGCCTTTTCTCTTTCGAGTGATATTCTGGGCAGGCTTGAGAAATTTTTGGTTTGCCCTTGACAATTTTTTTTATTCGTGGCAATCGCTTCCCCTAAGTAGCCGAAAAATAATGGAACCTGCCAGACATTTCCAGCCAAAGAGACTTTTTCAAAAATTTCCCTTGAAAGTTATGATTCACTGTGTCTGAAGGCAGGCAAGAAAATTTCCAGTTTTATGCAAATTTTCTCCTTAAGCGCTTAACAATAATCTCACCACTTAAGAGCCTGAACTCACAATGAATAATTGCTTGGCATTAGAGCAAAGAAAAATGCAAATTCTTCCTGGCAAAAGGGGGAAAAATTTACACTTTACGATAAGACTCCGGAAAAGTGAAAATGAGACAGCCAGTCATGTTCATGACTGCCACTTTGAGAATCGCGAACATAAAAAAGGCGGAAAGTGTCCACGAGGAATATAATAAAACTTTCCGACGACCCTGGCGATAAATTATTATTAAACCGTGCTCAAAGAGACCTTTGTAATTTTCGTGTTTAGCAATTTTCGCTCGTTTCATATTTGAGCGCCGGCGAAAACAGAACGGAAGAAAAATGATAAATCGTCTTGTTAATTATTTTTCGTTCAAGGCCTGAAAGACAACGACTATTAACGAGCCAAACAGAAATGGGAGCTTCAATGTTTTCAATCTCATTAAGTGTACGCATCTGAATCAGTTAGATTAATGCCATCATGATTTATTTATTTCCATCTGGCTCGGTATGACAGGGAGGACAAAGAAGAGCTATTGAGAATCCTTCTCAGTACTTTAATTAATTAATTTTCTGGTGCAAATCTGGACTAAACAATACACTTTTTATCATTTTTATCCAAGTGCGAAACATGCACTGTTGCCACATATGACTCTAAGTCCAGGATTCACTTACTTGAAAAAATCAACACGTAGATCAGGCAATGGTGGCGTCACGTGAGATTGACTGGTCCCGGGATTGGTTCGAAATTTGGCAACGTGCTTTTGGTCGTACACAAATTTTTCGGTAGTGCGCGACTTTGTACTGCCCGTTGACGTGTTTCTGCGTGCCGCCTTTTTGTGCCTGAAAAAAAGCAACATGAAAACCTATTGAAATTTTTTTTTTGTAAATTTAACCATCATTTAGCGAAAAAAATCACTTAAATTGGTCAAACAGCTGAAATTCACAGTTTTTCAAACAAGCCTTTGCTTTGCATAAAAATCAGTGCTGTTTCAAGCAAACATTGATAAAAATCGCACAGGAAAACATGCGATTGACCGCTTTGATTCACTAAATCGTGCCTGAAATTGAATTTGTTGTCCATTGAGTTTCATTTCAGTTCGATGTCTCGCAAATTCATCTCCATTAGCGCCATGAATAAATTGTTCTTTGTTCCACAGTGCAAGGGAATCACCAATCAAGCTGATTTTTGCCAATTTTGTAAATAACAGCTGTCCCTTGAAAAATCCCAACTTTGAACTCAGAACAGCCAGAAACTTGAAATTTTCTGCCTCTATAGACAATATTTCAGACTGCACATGAGGAAATTTTCGGTCAAATCGCAATTAGTACTGATTTTTACAGTCATGTACGATGTGGACCAAAAATTGCCATTTTCCCTAAACTGCACGCTCTCCTTTAAAAATTCTTAATTTTGTAAATTCCGAGTAAGTTTTGCTGTAAAATTTGCCGTTTTTCGACATTTTTAGACAAGCTGCAGCTTCTAATCCAGAGCAGCTACGCATTGCAAATATCCACCTGCGGTAGAAGATGCTTCCAGCTGCACATAGAGAAATTGCCATTAAAATTGCAACGAATAGTCGGTTTTTACGGCCAAAAATGAACATTTTCAGCCAACTGCACAATTTCCTTTCAAATTTTCTAACTTCATATCCAGGGCCGATGGCAACTTCAATTTTTATACACCCGATAGAAGACATTTTGGACGTATCGGCGTGCAGTTGCTTCTGACATAGCAAATCAAACTAATTTTTGCCCACATTAAAAAATTGACATTTTTCGAAATTTTTTAAAAATTTATAACTTCTAATCCAGTGCTGCTAGGAATTTCGAATTTTCACACGCAATAGGAAATACTTCAAGCTATACACAGGAAACTTGCCATTAATTGCAAAGTATTATGTTTTTTGACTGCGTTGTAAATAATGGGCTCAAATTGAACATTTTCTCTCAACTTCGCGCTCTCCTTTGAAATCTCCTAACTACCAACGCAGGGCAGATAGCAACTTGAAACTTTCAGCCCTTTTAGAGCATATCGGGATCTCAAAGCACTGACTTTCCCCTTTAAGTTACATCGTATGCTGATTTTTGCCACTCCCGTAAATGAGGAGTTTGAAATGAACATTTTCACGCAATTACACGCTTGGCCTTGAAAATTTCCACCTTCTAACCTGGAACCGGTAGGCCTTTGAAATTGGGACACCCTATAGAAGGCACACGATATTGAGACGTCTTAGAGTGCCAATGAAAGCGGATGAAATCGCGAGTTTTTCCAACCCTGTAAATGTTGGGCCGAAAATGAACATTTTCAGTCAAATGCACACCCTCTTTTAGAAATTCCTAACTTTAAACGCACTAGAGGTGGTGAGCTGAAATTCACATATCTTATGCGAGACACTCGAAGTTCAACACGCGGAAATTTCGCCGTAAATCGCGTAAATTTCTGACTTTTACCAGCTTGTTGATGCTGCACCAAAAAATAACCATCTCATTTAAAAAATTCTACATTTCAATTCCGGTCAGGTACCAACTCGAAAATCGGTCATTCTAGAGAACTTGTTTCAGGCTGAAAGTTTTTAAACTTTCTTACAAATCCCGAAAACCTCTTATTTTTGATAACCCATAATCTCACTGTTCCTTCTGTCGATGCATTGAACTTTCGCCTGAAAAACTGTCCAGAAGACGACAACGTTCCGCAAGTAAAGGAGGAGCTGATTAATTGCAAGCTAATAGAGAAATGTCAGCCAAAAACCAGACCAATCGAAAAACGTGCTGAACCATCCCAGACAACTCAGCTACAAGCTTGCATCCTTGAAGATCGGTAGTTATGAAAGTATTTTCCAGCCAAAACATAATAAATAAAACTCTCGACTTTGTCAGCGCCAGTTGGGGTGAAAATAATGATTTATCTTCGTGTTGGTGGGGTTTTAAAGTCGCATTTGCATTGTGATAAAATGAGGGTAGAATGTAAAGTGAAATGTTTCTTGGCACAGTGACGTCGTCTCATATAACGACGCTCTGAAGATCGATATCTGTATCGACGCCTGGCGTCGTTTCGACTCCGACAATAAAACGAATCGCCTTTGTATGAGCATGTTTCGTTTTGGGGTAGAAAACCAAATTGCTAATGAGGATTTTGATGCACAATATGGAAACAATCTGGCAACAAATGGAAATCGCTTCCAATGTGGATGTAATACGGAAAATAAATCAAACAATTTATTCCGATAAATCCGCAGATTTTCCGATAAATTTCCATTTGTTTTCACCCTATGCATATTTACAAAATAATAAATAAAAATTACTCAACCTAAAACCCGCAATTTATTGTTGCGTGGGGCTTTGCAAACAACCGCGCTACATTTCTTTTAGAGACTATTTTTAAACGTTTACAAATCGGGCACTTTTGCCGCCAATTCGCCGAATTTATTCAACACTAAACCTCTTTGATGATTGCTCATTTCGCCCAATAAAAAAATGTCCAAATCCCGGGAATTAACCAATAAAATCTTTGATTTTTTGCCAGTTTAACACAAACATGTCTGCACAGGTAATTGAAGTTGCGGGTCGTTATGACGGCGGTGAGAAATGGGAAAACTCGAAATTAAATTTCCTCAAAAAGTCGCTTAAAGCGCGTATTAAATCGTGGTAAATAATGGGCGGTTGGTTGCAATACGTTCCCGCAAGTTTGCCTTAGTTTCCTCGCATGTGTTCCGAGCTCTTATCCAATGATTACATGTGGCAGAATGAGCTATGTCTAAGTTGCAAAGTGGAAAAGTTTCCTCTTGCTTTACAGCAGCAACGTCCTGAAGGATTAACCTTAACGAAACTCACGTGTAATAAACTGGCTTCAGTTTGGAACAGAGGGACGTTTGCAAGTCAATTGAATTATTATCCGCAAAATATACAACAAGATGCTTAACATGTTGCTAAAGGGTAACTAGGCGTTAAACGAGAGTCGGCAAGAACTATTCATGAACAGCGCAAAGGCAGCGGAATTTTCAACACTCAGTTTTCTATGGAAAAACTTATAGATTTCTTGGAATTTTAGCTTTTGCCATGGAAAATGCCCATATGTTACAAGCGATGCGTCACACAATGTGATCACCATTTAGTGCTCTATCCAGTCATAAAAAAACTAACTAACGATGTATCGTAATCTGCGCCTGAGAAATTGGCAAAAAACGTTGCGTAAAACATGAAATTTTGCCTCAATTTTGCAGTTAAATGTGTGCAGATAATAATGAGGCAAATATCGCGGCTAAACTCAAACACTTTAAATGTGCATATTGAGGAGTTATCTTATCCATTTAGCTCAAAAACAGGCAAGTAAAATTTTGATTTTTTTCCGAAATTTTACTAAGGGTGGACATCGATGAAATTTTTTGTAAACGCTTCTCTTGACGTATATTTTATCTCTAGGAGGCTAAAATCTAACAAATTCACGGAAAAAACAATCTTGAAATCAGAAAAATCGGCATTTTCTACCCATTTCAAAGCGGTGTTGCATATTCACAATTTTTGCCTACGATAATTTTCTTATTAGTGACCCAAACTCTTTAAATACGCGTTTTGGAGAGCTTCTTACGTCGAAAGCAATCCATTGAGCTCAAAAAACAAACAAGTAAAATTTTTATATTTTACCTAAATTTTCTTAAAGGTGGGGGACAATTTCTTCAACAAACAAAAATTGTCTCAAAACGCTTCAAATTCCACATATTTTTTGTCTCTAGAAGGCGAGGAATCAAACGAGCTTATGGAAAAACACACTGAAAGCTTCAGTTCCGAAATAATCGACATTTTCTACTCATTTCAGGCCGTTTTCGGAAATTCAGGATTTTTAGACTACGATTTTTGTCTTATTATTGACGCAAAAACTTAATAATGCATTTTGGAGAGTTTTTTCCGTGGAAAGCAATCTATTCGGCTCAAAAAACACACAAGTAAAATTTTGTACTTTTTACAAATTTTTCCCAAAGGGGGAGATGGATTTTTCCAACAAACAAAAATTGCCTCAAAACGCTTCAAATTCCACATAATTTTCGTCTCTAGACAGCGAGGAATCAAACGAGCTTATGGAAAAACACACTGAAAGCTTCAGTTCCGAAATAATCGACATTTTCTACTCATTTCAGGCCGTTTTTGAAAATCCAGGATTTTTAGACTACGATTTTTGTCTTATTATTGACGCAAACACTTAACAATGCATTTCCGAGAGTTTCTTCCGTCGAAATCAATCTATTGGGTTCAAAAAACACATAAGTAAAATTTTGTATTTTTTACAAAACTTTCCTAAGGGGGAGATGGATTTATCAACAAACAAAAATTGCCTCAAAACGCTTCAAATTCCACGTAATTTTTGTCTCTAGAAGGCGAGGAATCAAACGAGCTTATGGAAAAACACACTGAAAGGTTCAGTTCCGAAATAATCGAGCTTTTCTACCCATTTCAGGCCGTTTTTGGAAATTCAGGGTTTTTGGACTAMGATTTTTCTCTTATTATTGACGCAAACACTTAATAATGCATTTTGGAGAGTTTCTTCCGTCGAAATCAATCTATTGGGTTCAAAAAAACCACAAGTAAAATTTCGTATTTTTTACAAAATTTTCCTAAGGGGGAGATGGGTTTTTTCAACAAACAAAAATTGCCTCAAAACGCATCAAATTCCACTTAATTTTCGTCTTTAGAAGGCGGGGAATCAAACGAGCTCATGGAAAAACACACTGAAATCTTCAGTTTCGAAGTAATCGACATTTTCTACTCATTTCAGGCCGTTTTTGGAAATTCGGGATTTTTAGACTACGATTTTTATCTTATTATTGACGCAAACACTTAATAATACATTTTGGACAGTTTTTTCCGTGGAAAGCAATCTATTAGGCTCAAAAAACACACAAGTAAAATTTTGTATTTTTTACAAAATTTTCGTACGGGGGGAGATGGATTTTTTCAACAAACAAAAATCGCCTCAAAACGCTTCAAATTATTCCAGATAATTTTCGTCTATAAAAGGGAATCGAACGAGCTTATGGAAAAACACACTGAAAGGTTCAGTTCCGAAATAATCGACATTTTCTACTCATTTCAGGCCGTTTTTGGAAATTCGGGATTTTTAGACTACGATTTTTGTCTTATGGTATTATATGTAGTATAATGCATTGACGCAAACACTTAATAATACATTTTTCTTCCGTCGAAAGCAATCTATTGGGTTCTAAAAACACACACGTAAAATTTTGTATTTTTTGCAAAACTTTTCTAAGGGGGGAGACGGATTTTTTCAACAAACAAAAATTGTCTCAAAACGCTTGAAATTCCACATAATTTTCGTCTCAAGGAGGCTATGAATCAAACGAGCTCATGGAAGAACGCACCGGAAGCTTGAGTTCAGAAATAATCGACATTTTCTGTTCATTTTAGCCCGTTTTGGAAATTCAGAATTTTTGGACGACGATATTTTTCTCATTGTTGACGCAAACACTTTATAATGCATTTTTGAGAATTTCTTATATCGAAAGCAACGCATTTTTTCCAAAATGTTCCTAAGGGTGGAGATCGATTTGTTCAAGAAACAAAAATTGTCGGGGAACGCTTCATTTACACATAATTTTCGTCTCTAGGTGGCTGGGAATCCAACAAGCTCACGAACAAACACTCTGGAAGCTGCAGATCTGAAAAAATCACAATTTTCCTCCAATTTTGGTCCGTTTTTCGGCATTGATGGTCTTTAGCCGATGATATTTTCTGTATTGTCGACCCGAACAACTTAATCATCTTGGAGAGTTTCTCCAATCGCAAACACACAATTGGGATAAAAAAAAAATGCGGGTAAAATTTTGAATTTTTGAAGACTTTTCAAGCCCTATTTTATCTTATAAAAGCGCCATTTGGTGCTCTATCCTGTGACGTAGAAATGTGCGCTCCCGCTCGCTCTGTTAGAAAACAGCAAAAAGTTGACAAAAAACACGAAATTTAGTAATGCAACTTACCTTTGCTTTGGTCGAGGCGACTCAGTCTCATTCTCAGGGGACGAGCTCGGCCCCCTCTCGACTCGCCTCTTAGGCGACGTCCTTTCCGTCTTCTCTTCCTTCACGTCCAGTTTTCTTCTGAAGCTGCGGCGATTCTCCCGCTGGCGCTGACTGTTCAGCTTACTGTCGCTCATCACGCCGCCCACATCGCTGTTTCGCTTCCCCCTATTATACAGTTTGCTGTCGCTCTCGATATCCAATTGCTCGTAGTTCTGTGTGCTCTGTTTGTGGCTGTTCCTACGCAGCGCGTCCGTTTTGATCTTGTTAATATGCTCGTCCATCAGTTTCTCCATCGTTTTCTCCTCCAATGGAGGCGTCGGTTCCGTTTCCATTGGGATCGCGGCTGTTTCGAAATTGAACTGCTGGCTATGGATTAGCGCGATCGCCTTGGGCGTCTTTTCTCCTAAACAAAACAACTGATCCCGGTAAATAATCAAACGCCTTCAGAAGACACCCACTGACCTTTAGAAGATTCCACATCATCGAAAGTGAACTTAGTTTGATTTCTACAGGCGGGAGGAGTAACTTGTCGGGCTGTAGCTGGCGTTTTGGGACTAGCGGGGATTGGCTGTAGCACCGCAATCGAGCGGGCGTCCAGAATATTCTCGGAAGAAAAGTAGTCGACTTGTTCGGCTGTATCCAGGCTTCCTTCGGTCAGTTCTCCATCGGTCGCAGTCACTGTGGTAACAATTGTGTTCGAACTGTCTGTGGACGTGTTGATGGTGGCTTCTGAGGCCGTACTCGATCCCATCACTATCACTTTGGGAACTGGCTGGCTCTGGAAAAAACACACGTTTTCACCTTTAATTAGCTCGAACTATGTCTTTTCTTCCTTCTTCCCTTCTTTTCCCAATTATCACTCCCGTACCTGTTCTGAAAGGAGACTGTTATGTCTATGCAAAATTAAGCCGCAATTCTATGGGCCGCTTCCAGCATGTTTGTCCACCTGGCTTAACTCTGGATAATTAGGATGGCGCAACAAGATCCAGCTTAACAAGCAGACTGTTACACAAGCAACACAATTACAACTTTATCGCCCTTCAGTAAATTGTGGGAAAAATCGGGAAAATGGCCAAGAAGAATGTTTCTACTACCAAAAAACGTGAAGAGACTTTGTTTGTTCAAATAGCTAAATAAATATCTGTTTTCTTACAGGGTTCACCGAACATATTGGCATTTTACCCATTCAATCTCCAGCGCAATAAAGAATGCCACTCCAATCATCATCCCTTTGGGGATACAAGTTTGCGGCAATTTGACGATAAAAAAATCGGGCTCTGAAAGGTTTTCCCACAAGATTCACCCCAAAAACCGATTAAAGGATCATTGGGTTTCATTCAGGGCCTAAATCTTTCAGCTGGCTACTTGAATATTAATAAAAAACATTCTTTATTGCCCTTTTTTTGGCACTTTTATTCCCCCTGTGATGTAAATAAATACATTTTTGCTAGTTTCTTGGCAAAAAAGGCGAGAAAACTCAGACAAGCGTACACACTTTAAACTGGACAGCTGAAATAATCTCCGCAATAACCAAATAAGCCACTTTGAATAAAACTTCTTTGAAATGCAGCAAGGATGGTAATACAAGTTGAAAAGTTGTAAATTGCGAGCTGGATGCACAGGACGAACTTGCAAACTTGAAATTTATTTTACGCGAAACTGTAGCTGAAACTGTTTGAAGTTGTTAATCTTCTGGATCGAGAAGTTTTGACTATTCAAACAGTRTATGGATTGCCAACTCTCTCACAACATATAAAYGCTACTGATGRAACACAGGTTTTCTTTATTGGTAAGAAATKAATCYGAATTTGAAACTATCGGGGCCTCCAGGGAATATTTTTAGGAAGCTTTAAAAAAGTTGCCCCAAAGAACGCYTTCGCTCAAAGCACGGTTTTTGCGGCTTTCAATCTAAAAATAGTGTAAGATTTTGGGCTTTAAATTGTGAAAATATCAGTGAATATGTTTAAGAAACTTTCAATAATTGGGTCAAACGATTCAGTCGCCCAAATTTAGGTCAGTTTTTGTAGTTTCAAAAATTGGAAAAACTGAGGATTTAATGGTTTTTAGTGAATTTTTAAGAACTTGGCAAATTCCCAAAGTTAACTGAACTACGAGCCAATTTATACGAAAAAAAAGCAGGCAAACAAAGCGAAATAAATATTCGTTTATTGAAAACTCGCATTTTTTTACGCATTTAAAACTTTTAGAAGAAATAAAGCAATTTGGGCTTCACAACGTATATTGAAGAACTGTATAGAATATATTTAACAGACTTTCAAAAAATTGACCCAAAAACTCGTTCTGTCAAATTGAGACCAGTTTGTGACGATTTTACAGCTCGAAAAATTGACCAAAAGGAAAAAGGTTAGCTTTTCCAATTAAATTGGAAAACTCCTGAAGGTAACTGAACTACCAGACCATTTACCCGCAAAGCAGAACAAAAAACATTCTCCATTCAAAACTCACGAATTTTTTAACCGGATTTAAAATATTCAAACTGTTGAGAAAATTGAAGATTCTGGACTTCTAAACATATGTTGAAGATTTTCGGAATATCAGAAATTTAGGACGCGACAACCGGACAAATTTAACAAATTTAAAAAAATTGACCCGCAAGGTTCCTTGGCAAATCTTGGCCAGTTTTCTGTAGATTTCATAATTTCTAAAATTGTAATTATGGGACGTTTTAAGGTTTTTTAATACATTTTGCAGAACTGGAAAATTGCTGAAAGTAACTGAACTACGAGCCGATTTACCCGGAAAAAACTGTAAAGCAAAACACAAAACACTCTTCCATTCAAAACTCACGAATTTTTTGACCGGATTTAAAATATTCAAAAGATTGAAGAAATGGAAGATTTTGAGCTTCAAAACATGCGTTGAAAAGTTTCCAAAAATCAGAAATTTGGGACGCTACAACCGAACAAATTTAGCAAATTAAAAAAAATCGACATGAAGGGTTCCTTCGCTTAACTCTTCCCCTGTTTTCTGTCGATTTTATAGCTTAAAAAATGTAACTTCGGGAGGTTTTAAGGTTTTCTAATATATTTTGCAAAACTGGAAACTTGCTGAAAGTAACTGAACTACGAGCCGATTTACCCGGAAATAACTGTAAAGCAAAACACAAAACACTCTTTCATTCAAAACCCGAATTTTTTCACCGGATTTAAAATATTCAAAAGATTGAAGAAATGGAAGATTTTGAGCTTTGAAACATGCGTTGAAAAGTTTTAAAAAATCAGAAATTTAGGACGCTACAACCGGACAAATTTAGCAAATTAAAAAAATTCGACACGAATGATTCCTTGCCTCAAATCTTGCCCAGTTCTCTGTCGATTTTATAACTTAAAAAATGTAACTCCGGGAGGTTTTAAGGTTTTCTAATATATTTTGCAGAACTGGAAAATTGCTGAAAGTAACTGAACTACGAGCCGATTTATCCGGAAAAAGACGCAAAGCAAAACACTTTTCCCATTGAAAAGTCGCGCGTTTTTGACGAATCATCTGCGAAAACATTGAACATTTTCAAGCTTCAAAAAGTGTTTTKATGGTTGGGTAAAACCCAAACAATAAGAACGGAGTTSTMGAAAATTGGCTSAAACAATTTTTCACGCCAAAACTTGCCCAGTTYTAACAATTTTTAAATTTTCGACTTCARTYTTTCCATTTTTATCTAGGGCCTGAAGGYGGGAAAACATCATCAGTWTCGTCCCTATTTCTRCCTCCAAAAGTGAACTTCCAACGCTCAACTCAACATTGGCACATAGTTTAGGTGTATCTTTACGAGTGGCATGAGAAATTAGCCCCGTTTAGCCACGCTGAAGTTAAACACGAAATAATTTAATCACTTTATGGCAGCCAGAAGTGGAAGTATGCAGGAAAATTGACAAAAGCCATGCAATTTTCCCCTAAACTACAGTTAACATGTTATCGGCTGGCGTAAACGTAATTTAATCATACTCTATCTGATCCAAAACGCAGGAGCGACCTTGCTTCAGTGTACTTTGAAAAAATAACAGAATTAATGGATTATTTCAGGGCCACTGAATAGGTTTTACTGCATCAACAAACAGATAACTGTTCCATATTTATTCGCTGCTAAAAAACAGTTAAATTTTCGAAACAACGACACAACATGAAAATGTATTTCCATTGTTTACACGCGGAAACCGATTTCAATATTAATTATAAAACTGTTTTTTGTAGGGCGCAAAATTAATTAATCAGCTCAAACAGAAAGGGAAACCTCAATGTTTTTTGGGTGTGTTACGCATTTGTGTAGTCATTTATCATGTGGAAACATACTTTGTGTTAAGAATTTTTTTGTCAATTTATTAAAAAAAGTATCTAAAAAACAAATATGAACAAATAAAAGCGCGATAGTGAAGTGAATACAGAAGAAAATAAGGCCAGGAAAAGTTGCCACTACTACCACATGAACATGAATTAATTTCTCGGTCGAAGGGTTTGCAAGTTTGAAGACAAACGTGCAGAAAAGCTTGTGTTAGTTTGCCACTTTTTTGTCAGGTTTTTAGTGCGTTATTCTTCTATCCTCTAGATAAGCAAAGCCATTAATGGATTGATGCTCACATTCATTCTCTATGCAAATTTATGTCTAGAACTGTTTGACCGCAACTGATTAGGATGTGGGATTGTGGCCGACTGAGTTCTGGATTGGATTAATTGGCTCGAGGTGTTGCGGAATATGGAAATGCATTTTATTGGCATCGGCTGAGAGTTTGTTCTGGCGTTTCGCTTGCACGAGTGGCCTACATCTTCAGAGCGATAGTTTTAGATTGACGAGAAGCGGACAAAACTGCTCAAAATGAACGCTAATAAAACAAAATAAATTCTTATTGCTTCGAGCGATTTGCTTTCGGTTTGAAGCATTATTGAGCCCCTTTTTCACTGTTAGCAAGTGTTTTGGTGAAAATTTAACGCCCCCAGATACATTTTTTACAGGGCCTCAAGTGAAAATATGCAAAATTTCGCATCGGTTTTCATGCTGCTAGTTGGACGAATTCAGATTTCTTTGGATCTCTTCAACAAAAGTTTGAAGATAAACCAAAAAGCTCGAAACCGTTTCTAGATTCTTCGGCCTTCTGGAGTATTTACAGGGTGGTTTCAAAAAATCAGCTTTTTGGTTTTGTTTTGTTCACTTTTCTGCTCGTGCACCGATTTTGGCGGTCTGGGACATATTTTGCTGGTAAAACTTTTTAGACAATTTAACACCAAAAATCCCTTGTACAGGCTTGCACAAAAAACTATTCAAATTAAAATTTCTCCCCAAATCTTCGATTCTAAACAAACATTTCCTTCGTTCATGCAGCCCGGTATATTGAATTATTATTTTCCCAAGTCCACCATAAAGTTTCAGGTTAAATATGAAGTATAGCTTTTGAAAATCGGTTTAAGAGAAAAAATTATCACTGCAGGACTGAAAAGTTGAGTTTTTAAGGCCACCCTGTAAATAAACTAGACGAGGAAAATGTTGAAAAACTTTTTTCGAAATAACAGATTTATCTAAGCTGTAGATAAGTTCTATATTGTTGAGGCGGATTTATTTTTTACAATCTTCTTTTTGGGTATTTCGCCTCAAAAATTTTTTCAACAAATGAGCCTAAGTGTGTCGCAGGATACCCTCTAAGTGATAGTTGTTGATTACTTTCTGATAAATAATTCGTTCTTATTGCGAAATAGGAGCACTATTTATCAATCTGTA